CGCGATAGTACAACTCTGAACATCCCCCTTGTTCTTGAAGATTGGTACTAATATACTCCGTCTCCATTCTTCTGGCATCTTGTTTGCCCAAAAAATGAGGTTAAAAAGCTTGGTTAGCCATACTATCGCTATGTCCACGATAGTACAACTCTGAACATCCCCCTTGTTCTTGAAGATTGGTACTAATATACTCCGTCTCCATTCTTCTGGCATCTTGTTTGCCCAAAAAATGAGGTTAAAAAGCTTGGTTAGCCATACTATCGCTATGTCCGTGAGGCCTTTCCACACCTCAATGGGGATACAATCAGGGCCCATCGCCTTGCCTACTTTCATCCTTTTTAAAGCTTCCTTGACCTCAGACTCCTGGATTCGCCGCACAAAACGCATGCTGATCTCATCAAAGGAGTCTTCCATTTCAATGGTAGAACTCTCATTCTCCCCATTGAACAGTTTGTCAAAGTACTCCCGCCATCTATGCTTAATCTCCTCGTCGTTCACCAAGAGTTGGTCTGCTTCGTCCTTGATGCATTTGACTTGGCCAATATCCCTCGTCTTCCTCTCTCGGATCTTGGCCATCTTATAGATGTCCCTTTCGCCTTCCTTCGTGCCTAACCGTTGGTAGAGGTTCTCATATGCCCGACCCCTCGCTTCACTGACAGCTCGCTTTGCGGCCTTCTTCGCCATCTTGTACTTCTCTATATTGTCCGCACTCCTATCTAGGTATAGGCGTTTGAAGCAATCTTTCTTCTCTTTAATCGCCTTCTGGACAACATCATTCCACCACCAGGTATCCTTATCTTCGCTTCTTCTCCCCTTGGACATTCCAAACTCCCCCGAGGCCACCTTACGAATGCAAGTCGCCATCTTCATCCACACATTGTCCGCATCCCCTCCTTCCTCCCAAGGGCCCTCCTTAATGACCCTCTCCTTGAACGCCTAAGCTACCTCCCCCTTGAGCTTCCACCACTTCATTATGGCGACTTTGGCGTTATCCCGCTGGACACGAATCCGAAAGCAGAAGTCAGCAACCACCAGCTTATGCTGAGGTACAACACTCTCTCCAGGTATCACCTTACAGTCTAGGCACGCACGCCTATCTTCTCTTCTCAAGAGGATGAAATCAATCTGGCTAGAGTGTTGGCCACTACTAAAAGTCACGAGATGTGATTCTCTCTTTCTAAAGAGGGTGTTAGCTACAATCATGTCGTAGGCTAGAGCAAAGCTTAAGACATCTTCTCCTTCTTGATTCCTGATGCCATAGCCAAAGCCCCCATGTGCCCCTTCAAAACCTGTGTTAGATGTACCCACGTTGCCATTGCGGTCTCCTCCTATGAAGAGCTTCTCGCCAATCGATACACTCCTAACCATGTCTTCCAGGCCTTCCCAGAACTCCCTCTTGGTGTTCTCATTGTGGCCTACTTGCAGGGCATACGCGCTGATAACATTGAGAACTAAGTCCCCAACTACCAGCTTGACCAGGATAATCCGGTCCCCACGTCTCTTGACGTCTACCACTCCAAACTTGAGGCTCTTGTTGATCAAGATGCCTACGCCATTTCTGTTTGCAGCCGTCCCCGTGTACCACAGCTTGAAGCCGGTATCCTCCACCTCCTTCGCCTTCTGTCCCCTCCATTTGGTTTCTTGGACACAAAGGATATCGACACTTCTCCTCACCGCTGCATCCACTAGCTCCCGAAGCTTCCTTGTCAGAGATCCTACGTTCCAGCTACCTAAGCGAATCCTCCTAGGCTCGGCTAGCTTCCTTACCCTTCACACTCGTCGAGTCAAATGCGAAGACCCTTGCTCATTTTCCACTACATCCGGGCACCGATGTAGCGCGCCACTAAGGATGCGACGACCCGATCCTCGCTCACTTGCCACCATATCCGGATCAAGATACGGCGCACCATCAGGGGGGTGGCAGCCCGGCCCTTGCCCATTTTCCACCACACCCAGGTTCCGATGTGGCACGTCGCTGAGAGCGTTACGTCTTCAAGATGACCCCGAATCAAAAAACGTTCAACACGAAAGTTGTTCGTCTCGTTGAAACAGTTAAATTTCCTTTTGGGTGCATCTTCATCCGAGGTCGTTTGTGGATTGTGAGACCCAAAAACCGAACTGCTATCTCAGACTTGCCTAAATCCGAGCTTGGTTAATTTTGGAAAGATTTTGGATGGGATTTGAAGTCTTTTTCTTGTACGGGAAGTCCAGACGCCTCATAAATAGATGAGAGATGACGGCCGATTGAACAATACAAAATCGAACAATCAATATACCACTTTTACCTTTATTTTTATCTTCTCCCTTTGTTCTTCTTCTTCCTCGTTCTTCGTTCGTTCTTCTTGTTGAAGGGCGGCGAACCTCGAGGCTCTAGGGGCGATCAGGTCAACCTAGGGCAGCCCATAGCCGTCGCACGCGCACACGGGGTTCTCCTCCCGGGCGTGCCGGATTGCTTGCGCACCACGCTTCCAGATGGGTCTCCTTTGACGTGAGCTGCGGTGCATCACCCTCGGCGTTGGAGGTAGCGGTGACATGATCGTGTGCTAACACATGTAAAGATAGTGAAGAGTATTTTTTCAGAACTTTGGGTACAAAAAACCCAAAGTGGTCGGACCCTTCCCTCGACCCTGCGCAAGCGGCGGGGCCGGGCCTGGGGAGGGGAAGGGGGCGGCCTCCCAGGGCCCCCAAAATCCAGGGGGACCTGCCACGTACGTATATAGCCCATGACCTACAGGCCAAGGGAAGCAAGAACGCTAGACGCAAATGCCTGTGACCATGAGGAACGGGCCATGTACTAGTTGACAGCAACGTTCGCATGCATATGCATCCCATTACCACCCAGACGCTGCGACATAGGTAGCCCAGGAAGGAATAAACAACATCCGATCACGAGAAGTTGCGATCGCACATATCCTTCCGATCGCGGGTCACGACAATCCCTAATCTCGAGCCTCCATCACCAGGCGAGTCAGCGCTGCCGTTAGGCCATAGTACGCACACAGATGAACTCCATTCTCCAGTCTCCACTCTTCAGGCGCTAGATGGACATGCACATCACCAAGCACCTTCTTCCACCGATCCACATCGCCCGACGCCTGATCATCAACAAAGATTTGACCGACCGGAGGTATACAGTATTACTAATTTATTATTGTCTATATTCATATGAGTATTGGTAATTAAGTAATTTATCTTCACATACACTATGCATAGCTTACAAACTTTTGGTGCATCTTTTTATTTAAATTTAGCACTGTGTTATTACATGTGCATAATAGAAAAAAGAAAACACTGTATGGATGACTTGATAGAAACACATTGAGAAGCTATTGACAAAAAATATCAAGAGTAACACCAATACTTCAACTGATGAGTTGGCAATAGTCGTTGTTTATGGATCAAAACATTTAAAAGAAGACTTTATGATAATATCAATAAATTATTTGACATAAATGTTGATTTTGGATGCATTAAAGTTTCTATTGGAAACATATGCATATTGATTACTATAGTGATGTTTTTATACTAAAGGGCCCCGAGTTGTAGTTTTGCCCTGGGCCCCCAAAATCCTAGGGCCGGCCCTGGCAAGCAGGAGCTAGGTGCACTGGGTTGCCATTTTTCTGCAAGCCTCAGAATGGAAAGATGGAAAGGGAATAAAACAAGATCTTCAGAAGAAATTCACGGCCAAATAAACATGGAAAGTGCCACATAGAAGGGAGTCTACAGCCAGAATGCGGTAGCCAAAAGAGGGAGATAGAGCTGCCTAGCTCTCTCCTAGAGTCGCATCTGCACAAGTGCAGAGCTGCCACAGGATTCGTCTGCTCTTTATCTTGCAATACTTGCTCACTGCGCTCCCAAGTCCTCCAAGAAATGTGGAGTGTGGCATAGCATGTACCACGACAGCAATGAGTTCCGTCTCCTCCCCCTCCTGCTATGTCCTTTCGCAACTCCCGCATGTTACTCAATAAGCTTCTTTAAGTCTTTATTTTGGTGGCGGCTATTGCTTCAACTCCTACCATGCTATTTGAGAGAATCATCACGGCTATGCTGTGTCAACCTTCAACCTTGGAATACATCACAAGGAATGAGGCTCGGTCCCGATAACAAGAACGGCAGGAAGAAAATTTGTCATTCCGGAAAATGTATCTTTAATCTTTATTATTGGCATTAACAAAAAAACAGTCTCGAGTGTACGCTTTAGCTTTCTTATAAGTGCTGAGCGATGATAAAATGCCTCGCTTTGGCCTAGGGGAAGCATTAGGGGGACAACGAGGTACTTCTGTGAGAAATTGGTCTTCGCCGGTGAGAAATCGGCCTTCTCAGATGAGGACTGAGTGGTAGTCCTTCGGCGAGGAATTGACAACCCCGGTGAGGAATAGGTAATTAGGCATTCTCCGGCAAGGAATCGACAACCACAATGAGAAATAGGCATTCTCCGGTGAGGAATAAGCCTGCTCAGGAGAGAACAATGCAAACAAAAAAAACTAGGACTTAATTCTCCTCTATTTCCTATGTTTCAATCGCCAAGAGCTGGGCGACAACCTTTCAGTAAGGGTAAATTTTTGAACATTGGGTATATGCAACTAAAGGCAAACTTATTATCAATGGTGATTCGCAACTCCGCAACAATTGTGATGGCACGTAGAAACTTTATCCTTTAATTTTCTGTTGCGCCAGGATTAGTTTATTTATCCCTAAACTTGTGTCTCCCCATGGTGGGACACTCTTCCTTATAGGTGTTGGAATATTGTTGCTTATGCTATCATGCAGAAGAACGAATTGATCAAAATCATACCTTCACTTCCATGCCTCGTTTTAGTTCTCCTGCATGCAGTCGTCCAATTGCTATCCTTCCTTTATGTTCATCATATTCGGTACTAGTTACCTGTATATAAATGAGCAATTGAGTGCAGAATTGGAAGCAGTGAAATATAACTACTAATATTACTCATGACCATCGAAATATGCTGGGAATTCATGAAACCAATTTTGGTGAGATATTTCAAAGGAAGATAGATCGACCATGTTAACAAAGAAAGAAGGAGGGTCTCTTGCTGGCCGAAGGGTTGGGATGCAACAGGTTGACTATTAGTTCTGATAGCACTGAAGTGATTGAGGCCATGAAGAGTGACATGCATGCTGCGGCTAATGAAGCAGCGATCTTCAATGATTGCTACTTCATGCCCAGAGAGTTTGTGAAAGTTTCCTTCGAACATGAGAACCGAGAGGCAAATACGATTGCTCATGAACACTTTCCCAGCTTGCTAAGTATAATGATTCTAGCACATGGATAGATGTTCCTCCTCCCTCAATTGTATCTCTTTTAGTCAATGATGTAACCTTATTTTCCAATAAATAAAGAGATACCTTTGATTGTCAAAAAAAAAGAAAGCAATGCGTGAAATAATGCATGGTAAGTTTCAACAGAAATAAGTCAGTGAATATGGAATATAGAGCATAATTCATGACTATGAAAGCTGCTCTATATTCTCTCCGGAATATTTCAAAGGAAGGTACTGACATAGTGTGCATGGTAAGTTTCTCCGACTTCAAAATAGCAATGGCATACTTGTAACAGAATTATGTAAATGTGCATGTGATATCAATCATGTTGACCTGAACTTAAACATGAATTATGGTACAAGCGACATTAGCTCTCCATGAGTACAAAGATTTTTTTTCTTCATTGAGAATGTAAAATTTCAGCTATCTCAAACATACATAACTTAATTTCCATAACATGGCTTTGAGCATCTTAGAATAAATGTATTCCTAACCATAGAATGGATTGGAGCATCTCAAACGTATGCTTCATAATAGATGAAAATACAACTATAGTTGAGACCCAATTTATAGTATTATAGCTTAGGAGGTATTGTGTAGATGTAATCCAGCATAATCATAGAAAATCAAGCATTGCAGATGATACATGAAAATTTGACATATAAACGACAAACTTTATAACTCACAAGCATTTGGAGGGCACCATCTTTCTCAATGTGTGGTTCAGGTATACATCTAAGAATAGCCTCAAAAAGGGGTCCAAGATCGTCAGCCAGATTATCTGCGGAGATCCCAGCCTTTCCTTTGAGGCCAATTGCATAGACTGTTTGGAAATCACACTATTGTTGGCAAAACAAAAACATGAGTACTAGGATATGACCAGTGTTAAAACCTAATACTCAAAAAAGAGTAAGTTAAATGAATAACAATCCAGGCATAGCTCCTCACCTGTTCATCTGTTGCATTTAATTCGATAAATAGCTCAAACGTTGAATTAACTACAAACTCTGGACGAGCAATAGGTCTGTCAACCTTGTTTACAACTACCACAACAGCATGTCCAAATTCTAGAGCTTTCTTCAGAACAAATCTTGTTTGTGGCATAGGTCCCTCCACAGAATCAACCTACATAGGAGAAAGGCTTAATGAATCAGATGGTCGTTCACATGTTGCCTCAAGTGACACTAGACACTATTTGGAAAATATGTTTGACAGGATCTAGGGAGACATGCAGTGGAAGATTGAACAGCTACGGTAATGCTCATAGGAATTCAAATATGTGTCCTCAAAAAGGTCATAGGCATTAAATAAGAAACATGCCATTTAATAAAAACAAAACAGTAGCTAGTAGCATAGTACCACTAGGAGAATTCCTTCCACCATGTTGAGAACACGTTCCACCTCCCCACCAAAATCTGAATGCCCAGGAGTATCAATTATATTGATTTTGGTACCCTTATAGGTTATTGATGTATTTTTGCTCAGTATAGTAATTCCTCTTTCCCTCTCCAGATCATTAGAGTCCATTATCCTTTCCTGCACAACTTGATTGTCTCGGAAAACCTGCATAAGGTAAACATTCAGGGTAATAAGACGATTGAAAATTTCATAGTAAATACACTCTAGATTTGTGCTACAACATGGTGATTCAACAGAAATAAGTCACACAAAAATAAAATATATCTGAGCACAGCTCTTAATATTACTAAAGCCTGCAATTTTGTGTCACAATACAGGATAGGAGGTAAACTGAAGAATGACACAGCAAACAAAAGTTACGCAGATATTTTGTGGAGAAAACCCACACAACTAAAAGTAAATAAGTATGCACAACAGTTTCAGGTGGGTATAGGAGTAGCCTCCACAGCACCTATGGGACTCTAAACAACACCATGTTTGTGATGACTCAAACCAGTTCTATGGACCTGCCAGACTGAACAAAGAGTAAAGATCAATAATTTAGAGCCCATACAAACAATGTGAAAGCAACCCACCAAGACCAGACCAAAAAATCAGTTCTATTATACTAACAAACCAAACAAGATCAAATATCAAGGAATCAAATGGAACAATAGTATGGCAATATGTGGGAGAGCTTGTCTTATATTTGCAAAGTGTGCTTGCCTTCTAAATAAAGCTTCCATCACTGAGAAATTTAATTCGCAGCCAACTCACTTGAAGTAAATTAGCCTCACAGAGCAAAACATAGTACTTCTGGGATGTACCTTGGATTGTCTTAACATTGAATCCACCAAAGTTGTCTTCCCATGATCAACATGAGCAACAATTGCAATATTTCTCACATCTCTTCTAGTTGCTTGACTACTAGTCCCTGCTAAATAATCCAGTGAAGTATATAAATTAGCATCATCCAAAAAGAAGTGAAGTCAATATACGTAGGAAAATTTCATGGAGAATGCATAAGCACTGGGTTCTGATGATAGCAAGTCAAACTGTTTTTTTTAACTAAAGTACCAAGTATCCAGATGAAGATGAATTTCAACGTAGAAAGGCCCAAGTGTGCATGTATTTTACATAAATTACTATTTCAACAAACTCAATCTAACATTAGAAAAAATATCAGAACCTTGCACCGTCATTGGTTAGCGCTTAGGAGCTATCGGTGTGTAAAGCCACGATCGCAGCGCTTAGGAGCTATCGGTGTGTAAAGCCACGATCGCCACATCTGTGCGCTGACACGAATGAGCGTCTCCTCTTCAATTCTAAAGCAACAGGGTGCTCACTCCTCCAGTTATTACATGACGAGAAAACACTGGAGCCATGCAGACAAAGTTAACCATCTCTTGCACATTACAGGCTCATTTCAGTCCGTGTCACCAAACTGGTGGGCACATGAAAATCATCATTGACACACTCTGCGAAATCACTTACAGGGTCCCCTAAAAGAAATCACTTACAAGGCACTCAACAGCCACGCGCACTGAACTACCTCAGTTTGTTCCCAGTATCATGCCACCGTTTCGTCCCTGAATCTAAATTCCGGGTTTCCAATCGTGCCGAGGAAGAAGGAAGCAAGCAAAGATTTCACTTACCAGACGGAGACGGGGAGTCGGCGCGCTCCTTGACCTCCTGCTCAAGGGAAGCTGAGGCCCTGATGGAGCGGGGCCGCCGGCAGCGGGAGTGGGGAGGCCGCAGGAGGAAGCATCGGCCGGCGGAGAGGTTCGAGGAGCTGGCCGACGCCGGCGGCGGCGCGAGGCGGTGGGCGGAGGGGCCGGCGCGGAGGGTGATGGTCTGCATCTGCATGACTAGGCGGGTGGCTTGGGTGGGTTTGGGGGGTTTTGTAGGGCGGGAGGAAGGCGGCGGAGCCTTGGAGGATAACGGCCATGGCTTTGGTGGCTGCGGCTGTGTGCGCTGCGAGGCGGGCCACGTCGTCCGCCCGGAAAATATACTACTACGACTAGACTACGAGTCCCCCTAAAAAAAACTAGACTACCAGCAGGGCCCTGTTCGGCAGGTCTCCAGTCCCCATTTTTGAAGGAAAAATATCAGGTAATATCATGCCTTAGATGCTCCCATGATACGATCTTCTGGTCCATCGGATCTCAGATTTAATGGTTCCTAGAAGGTTCTGAAAGGTTGCCGTACTTGTTCGGAATTTTTAGACTTCAAAAGGTCTTTTTCGCAAAATGTTGAAAGCCTTCGGCTCCTAGAAGCTCGTATCATGGGAGCATCTAAGGCTCCGTATCACCTGATACTCTCCCCACTTTTCAACTCTCAGCTCCATCTGCATGCACAGTGTGTGAAGCGGCATTTTTGCAACTCCGAAAAAATGGCATACAAGCCGCTCCGCTATAGGAGGGCATGGAGCCAACGCGTTCGGTGCCACTCCGCAGCTACACCGGCCGCTTCAGGAGCTGAGCTGCGGAGCGAAGGCCTGCTTCACTAGATATCAAGAGCAACTCCAATAGCCAGTGTAAAAATCTTTCATGAAGTTGTCAGATGTCAGACAACAACTTTTCTCGGTTCCGTAAATTTTTCACTTAAAGTTCTTTATTTTCTGTTTTTCATTAAACAAGCTTAGGACCCGTAAATCACTGGACGATGTTGTCTGACACCATTGCCTTGCGAGTTGTGGAAGTGAATCCTCAGACTTACTAAGGGAAGTCAAGGAAGCTACATGAACCTGGCTTTCCTTCAGCAGTTTCATGAACAGTGCTATAATACAACGATTTCACAATGATAATTGATGTACAGTAGTTGGCCATCTATAGTAGTTTGTTCATTGTGCTAGGTCTCTGACTTGCCTTCTCTATTTCACTAAAGGAGAATAATGTAGCTCCCTGGCTTCCCTCTGCAAGTCAGAGGATCCACTTACGCGAGTTGGGTGACCCGCGGTGAGCTCCTAGCGGCGGCGACGCGGGGAGGCATGGCGTGGCCGCGTTGGGAGGCTAGACGGCCAGTGGCTGGACGGCGTGGGCAGGTGGAGAGGCGGAATGGCGCAGGCCAATAGCAGGGCGTAGGCCTGAGTCGGCATGGTGGTGTGGTCAGACTTGCACGAGACGGGCATACAGTGGAGCGGCGGCACGAGACAGCGGCAGCTGTGCAGCGGTACAACCTGGCATGTCTATGACGCAGGAGACGAGGTTGCATGAGGATTCCTTCGGTGAACTTTCAAGCGGTTGCCTACCCAACAAATTATAGAGAGGATGGCTTCCTGTATGGTTGAGGGAATGTCAGGTTATTTGTTGTAGGGTGAAACCCTAAAGAGGATATTTTCACACTTGGAGGGGGAACGAGGAAGAACACACAAGAATACAAGGAGGAAATCACTCAAACAAACCCAAATAACACATCCACTAGAGTAGCATACATGAAATCCACAAGTATACAAGGACAATTCAAGGAAAATAACACTAGGGTAAAAGTTCTTCCCACTCCTAGGAGATGTGGTCTTGATGTTGATCTTCTTCAAAAGGAGGCCTTGATAATCCACAAGGATTCTTCTCAAGATGGGGGCTTTGTGACGCCCGGATATTTAAGCTACAGTAACCCTTCACTAATATTGCCACTTCACCACGATTATTGTTGCCAATCCTCACTTGATCCAAATCATGATTCAAAATCAAATTCAAAATCAAATTCAAAATTCAAAGTCAAAAATTCAAATTTGCCAAATATGAAAACTAAAATGTTCAAAGTGTGGCAAATAATCCCTGGATATTTGTCATGTTGGAACCAACCTCTTTTAGATTCCTAAAGTGTCCCTAGAATTTATTTAGTGGTCCAGCAGCATTTAAAATTGGCCTTTTCAATTTCTAAAAATAGCTGGACACTCCCAAATGCTTTGGAACTTGTTGTAACAACCCAAATTGTCGCTCTGTATTTTTGTGCCAAATTTTGTGGTAAAAAAACTCATTTAGTATCTCAAATAAAAGCAAAGTAGTAAAGAATTATTGTAAAAAAAAACCTAAACTACTGGTGGACTGGGCTCTAGATCAACAGTGGGAGTCCAGCCCACCTTGCCACCTCCTCCTTCCTACTGCTCACCAGGAGCGTCGTGGACGCGTGAGCCCCGTCCATGGCCGTGGATGGCCACAAGGCGGCAATCCGCCCCTGCCCCCGACCACAAGACGCTGGCAACCCCCTCCCCACGCCCTTGGACGAACCCTAGACCCCCAGATCCCCTCCCCCCTCTCTCTCGTTCCCCTCGCATCACTGTTGCCGCGTTCATGACCACCCGTAGCTGCTGCCACAATGGCCATCGCCGTCGTCACGTCTCCGGCTACCCCGCACCTCACCACCATCTAGGAGTTTCGTGGGGGTTGTCTTCATCGCCTCCAACTCTAGATCTGAGCTGGGAGGCCGCAGCTCGTCGTCTTCGCCTTCTTCTTCTCCGTCGGTTGCCGATGGATGCTGTCGTCGATTCTCCATCATCAGAGCCACCCCGAACCCACTAACCTGCCCTACCCGACCGTGGTGAGCTCCTCGCTCTGTGCCCCGACTTTCCCCCTCGATCTGTTGCCTTAGCCACGCCTTGAGCTCGTCGTGGTCAACATCCTGCGCTCGTGCTAATCCTACTGCCACCGCACGTTGCACGCACCACGAACGCGTACGCGTGCTCGTTCACCGCACACCTCGCCCCGCTTGCTGCTCAGTGGCGCCCGCTCGCCTGCTTCCACACGCACCGCCTCGCCTGGACCGCGCCTCGACCCAAGCTGCCGCGCCCAGGTGCGCCCCTGCGCCACTGTAACACCCACGACGCGGCTATATCTCCCACGTGTCAGAGCACGACTTAGAGGCATAACCGCATAGTAGGCATGTCGCAAGAGGGGTAATCTTTACACATCCCATGTACTGAATAAGAAAGGGATAAAGAGTTGGCTTACAATCGCCACTTCACACAATACATAAATATAGCATTACATCATCTAGAATACAATCAAGGTCCGACTACGGGACCAAAATAAAGAAAGATCACCCCTAATGCAAAAGATCCCCGATCGCCCCGACTGGGCTCCACTACTGATAAACCGGAGACGAGACAACACAACGAACACGATCTTCATCGAGCTCCCACTTGAGCTCAGCTGCATCATCTGCACTGGTATCAACGGCACCTGCAACTGGTTTTGGAAGTAATCTGTGAGTCACGAGGACTCAGCAATCTCACACCCTCGCGATCAAGACTATTTAAGCTTATGGGTAGGGAAAAAGGTAGTGAGGTGGATCTGCAACAAGCACTAGCATTTATGGTGGCTAACTTACGCAAATGAGAGCGAGAAGAGAAGCAAAGCACGGTCGTGAACTAGAAGTGATCAAGAAGTGATCCTGAAACTACTTACGTTCAAGCATAACACGGGAACCATGTTCACTTCCCGGACTCTGCCGGAAAGAGACCATCACGGCTACACACGCGGTTGATGCATTTTAACTAAGTTAAGTGTCAAGTTCTCTACAACCGGACATTAACAAATTCCCATCTGCCCATAACCGCGGACACGGCTTTCGAAAGTTCAAAACCCTATAGGGGTGTCCCAACTTAGCCCATCACAAGATCTCACGGTCAACGAAGGATATTCCTTCTCCCAGGACGACCCGATCAGACTCGGAATCCCGGTTACAAGACATTTCGACAATGGTAAAACAAGACCAGCAAAGCCGCCCGATGCGCCGACATCCTGATAGGAGCTGCACATATCTCATTCTTAGGGCAACACCGGATGAGCAAGACGTCAGGTTGGCATAGACCCTGGTTGCCCAGGGGGCGCCGGACATCGTTCAGGTTGGACCAAGACTTAGAGAAGCACTGGCCCAGGGGGGTTAAAATAAAGATGACCCTTGAGTCTGCAGAACCCAAGGGAAGGTGACATGTTGTTAGCGCAAATGTACAACCAAGGTTGGGCCTTACTGGAGGAGTTTTATTCAAAGCGGACTGTCAAAGGGTTCCCATTATAACCCAACCACGTAAGGAACGCAAAATAAAGGAACATAACACCGGTATGACGGAAACTAGGGCGGCAAGAGTGGAACAAAACACCAGGCATAAGGCCGAGCCTTCCACCCTTTACCAAGTATACAGGTGCATTAAAGTAACCAAGATATAATAATGATATCCCAACAATATCCATGTTCCAACATGGAACAAACTTCATCTTCACCTGCAACTAGCAACGCTATAAGAGGGGCTGAGCAAAGCGGTAACATAGACAAACAACGGTTTGCTAGGAAAGGTGGGTTAGAGGCTTGACATGGCAATATGGGAGGCATGATATAGCAAGTGGTAGGTATCGCGGCATAGAAATAGAGCGAGCAACTAGCAAGCAAAGATAGAAGTGATTTCGAGGGTATGGTCATCTTGCCTGCAAAGTTCTCCGAGTTGATGTAAGCTTGATCCTCGTAAGCATACTCAACGGGTTCCTCGATCACGTAATCGTCTCCCGGCTCTACCCAACGCAAGAACACAAGCAATGGAAAACACAATCAACCATGGTGCAATGCGCAAGCAACATGATGCAAAACATGGCATGATATGCGGGATGTAATATGCAATGCATATGCGGGCTTCGGAAGGAAAAGATTGAACCAGGCCTCAACTTGGCAAATCAAGTGCGCCGCTGGAAAGATGAGTTGATTTCGGTCGAAATCGATATAAAGATCACCGGAATCGGATGCACGATTTGCAAATGGCAAGCAAAACAATAATGGCACAATCATGCGATTACAGCACGATGCCATCTAGAATGCAACAAGAAACTAAGCTACTGCACTCCAACATAGCAACAAAGCACATGACAGTGATCTAC